TCTTAACACCATATACAAAAATAAACTCAAAATGGATTAAAGTCCTAAGTGTAAAGCCAGACACTATAAAACTATTAGAGGAAAACATAGGCAGAACACTCTATGACATACATCACAGCAAGATCCTTTTTGACCCCCCTCCTAGAGACATGGAAATAAAAACAAAAATAAACAAATGGGACCTAATGAAACTTAAAAGCTTTTGCACAGCAAAGGAAACCATAAACAAGACAAAAAGACAACCCTCAGAATGGGAGCAAATATTTGCAAATGAAGCAACTAGCAAAGGACTGATCTCCAAACTTACAAGCAGCTCATGCAGTTCAATATCAACAAAACAAACAACCCAATCCAAAAATGGGCAGAAGACCTAAATAGACTTTTCTCCAAAGAAGATATACAGACTGCCAACAAACACATGAAAGAATGCTCAACATCACTAAGCATTAGAGAAATGCAAATGAAAACTACAATGAGATATCACCTTGCACCTGTCAGAATGGCCATCATCAAAAAATCTACAAACAATAAATGCTGGAGAGGGTGTGGAGAAAAGGGAACCCTCTTGCACTGTTGGTGGGAATGTAAATTGATATAGCCACTATGGAGAACAGTATGGAGGTTGCTTAAAAAACTAAAAATAGAACTACCATATGACCCAGCAATCCCACTACTGGGCATATACCTTAAGAAAATCATAATTTGAAAAGGGTCTTGTACCACAATGTTCATTGCAGCTCTATTTACAATAGGCAGGACTTGGAGGCAACCTAAGTGTCCATTGACAGATGAATGGATAAGGAAGATGTGGCACATATATACAGTGGAATATTACTCAGCCATAAAAAGAAATGAAATTGAGTTATTTGTAATGAGGTGTATGGACCTAGAGACTTTCATACAGACTGAAGTAAGTCAGAATGAGAAAAATAAGTACTGTATGTTAACACATATATATAGAATCTAAAGAAAAAAAATGGTTATGCAGAATCTAGTGGCTGGACAGGAATAAAGACGCAGATGTAGAGAATGGACTTGAGGACACGGGGACTGGGAAGGGTAATCTGGGTCGAAGTGAGAGAGTGGCATGGACTTATATGTACTACCAAAATAGATAGCTAGTGCGAAGCAGCCGCTTAGCACAGGGAGATCAACTCAGTGCTTTGTGACCACCTAGAGGGGTGGGATGGGGAAGGTGGGAGGGAGATACAAGAGGGAGGAGATATGGGAATATATGTATATGTGTAGCTGATTCACTTTGTTATATAGCAGAAACTAACACACCGTTGTAAAGCAATTATACTCTAATAAACATGTTAAAAGTTTTTTCAGAAAAAAAACATATATATGGAATCTAGAAAAATGGTACAGATGAACCTATTTGCAAAGCAGAAATAGAGACACAGATGTAGAGAACAATCGTATGGACACAGAGGTGGGAAAGGGGGAGTGGGATGAATTGGGAGATTGGGATTGACATATATACACTACTATGTATAAAATAGATAACTAATGAGAACGTACTGTATAGCACCAGGGAATTCTACTCAATGCTCTGTGGGAAGGAAATCCAAAAAGGAGTGGATATATGTATATGTATAGCTGATTCACTTTTCTGTGCAGCAGAAACTAACACAACATTTTGAAGCCACTGTACTCCAATAAAAAAAAAAAAAAAAAGCAAAGGCTTGTATTAGATTATCTTTAATGTAGTTACCAGCTCTAACACTGTGAGTCTCAATGAAATCTAGTAGAAGGGGGAAAGGAGAGAAAGAGATAAATATATATATATATAAAGAGAATAGATAGGAAGAGGAAGTAACAAAAGGAGGAGAAGAGGAGAGAGGGAATAGGGAAGTGGTTGAGAGAGCGTCCCACCAATTACCTTGGCTGTGATTCCTTGATCCTGAGCAAGGGTGGACCTTATCTGGTATTCAGAGGAATTCAATAAACAAGTGAGTAACTAAATAAATCACAAAAATCATAACATAATCATATATCATATCATATATGATAATCATATATATGATAATCATATCATAATCATAATTTTCTCAGACAAGGTTGATTTAATAGCCACTTGGCCCTTAGTTAGTTTCATGAATTATTTTTTTTTTTAACATCTTTATTGGGGTATAATTGCTTTACAATGGTGTGTTAGTTTCTGCTTTATAACAAAGTGAATCAGTTATACATATACATATGTTCCCATATCTCTTCCCTCTTGCGTCTCCCTCCCTCCCACCCTCCCTATCCCACCCCTCCAGGCTGTCACAAAGCACCGAGCCAATATCCCCGTGCCATGAATTATTCTTGTATCCCTTTGGATACTACCTGTAGTTGATCGAGTTATATGGCATCACTGATTTGGACACTGTTACGCTTGGCTTGTAGAAGCCAGTAAATAGAAGACAGTTTATGAGAGGAATGCTAAAGGTGGCTGTGATAGATCTAAAATGTTATTTCCATTCATTTAAAAAGCCTCTGAAATATAAATAACCCCAGTGTGAATGGTAGGGCACTTAGCCTATCCAATTCCTTTGTTCACTAATGACTGCAAAAGTTCACTCTCACCTGCAGAGTCATAAAAGTTTACAGATAATAACAATACATGAACAGCCTCTCTGCCAAAATTCCTTGACCATGTCTTATTTTATTGATTCTACCCTCTAAATGTTCTACTAGAGGAAGAATGAATATGGATATTTAACAAGATTTTAGGAGAAATCAATATTAATGTATTTAGCAGCTGAGTTTAATTTTTAAAAGGGAAAAAGTCTGCATTAAAAAGGCTAAAGCTTAGATTTATTTGTATGCACTGAGGAACAGTTGGAAAGGAAGGGTGTTTTGAAGTTCACTCAGCCGGACAGATCACTGGAGGGAGCTCTAACTTCACCACAAAACCAGAACTGAGCTCTTTCTTTGTTCTTAAATTTCACATACAGCCGATGCCCACCCGCCCCCCCCAATAAAATCAATAATAAATACAAAAAGTGTCTGGAAAGGAAAAATGTGTTTTTGGGGGCATCACATGCCACATTTGCTTACAAATAAAGACAGAACCACTATTCAGAATTGTCAATATTTAAACAAGTCAAAAATACAATATATATAGTTAGAGCCACAGTATACACTTTGTATGAAAAATACTTTGAAAAATATACTTTAAAACTCTCCACACTGTCGCACCTCACCCCCATTATAATAGTGTAAATCCAAAATGACACCACTCTCAAGGCCAGCCAGGCAGAATCTGGCTTTGGTGTTCACAGAATTCACACAAGCTCTTGAGTACTTTATACGGGAGGAGACTTTGTAAAGGCGTGGGTGATATCTTGGGCCCATTCTTAGCAACATCACAACTGTTTCTGTGTTGGACCAGCTTTATGAAGGGCATTTACTTTTTCAGAGGCTGAGTGGTGTGCTTAATAGCACCCTGGATTGGGAACCAGAACACCTAGATTTTCATCACTGCTGAAATTCTAACTATATGTGAGCCTGTGGGCTTTATCGTCTTCACATTCCTGATGAAACAGAAATGTGAAAAGGTTGAACTAAGTGATTTCTAAAGTCCCTTCTAATTTTTAAGTATGATCATCAAGTTAAAATTGTTTATTTGCTTTTTCAGTACGAACTGACTCTGATTATCATATATGTTCATAGAGAGTGATATTTAGAATTCACTTCTGTCATTTAGAACCCCCACCCACCCCCGAATGCTGTGTCTATCTTAAATACATTTTCCAAGAGTTTTCCTACACCTTCCTTCTTATATACCCTTCCTCCTCCTTCCATTGCTTACCTGGTCCTTTTACAGTTGGCTCCAGCTAAGAAGCAAATCTGTACTAATATTCTGAAAAAATGACTCTCAGTATCTTCAGGATCAGGCCTAACCTGGTAGGAATTCTGGGGACTTAAGCAGGCTATAGAGCAGGGTCTTCTGGTAGGGATTTGTTTAATTAAGGTGTTACCTTGAGCCAAGTACATAATTTGCAGGACCCAGTGCAGAATGAAAATGCAGGGTCCCTGCTCAAAAAATTATTAAGAATTTTCAGATGGTGACAGCAGACCATTAAACCAAGCCAAGGGAACTTACGAACGTGAGGCCATTATGTCACAGTATGTGACTACACAGGTCACATACCCAGGCAGCCATTCGTGCCTGGAGTGGTGGGAACCCTGGGTTCAGTCTCACTGGTGCATAGGACTGAGTTTGACTCCAAAAGTATTATCCATTGAAAAAAAAAATCCAATACAAATAAGGTAACATAAAAGCAAGCCACTCCTGCCAACTTATTTTTTTAAAGGTGACAAATGGTTCCAACAAAGAAGCTCTGATTATGTTTGGGCCAAATCCTTAGAAGGATAATCAGTTAAATAGTTTCGGAAAAAGCACTGTGGAAAGGGAAGGTGTTGAAATCATATGATCATTATGTTTATACCAATTAAAATTTTCATTCTGAGAAGGTGTAATGGTTTCTTCCAAGTAGTTTCAAGAAATTGGAAAGCCAGATGGAGATGCAAACAGTGGCACAAAGACTGACAAGAAGTTTCCTGGAGGGACTGGCGAAGTGTAGGGAAAAGATGCTTTCAAAAGGCTAGAGGCATTAGTTTACCTCTACTTCCCAAAGCTTTAAAATAAAGTTTGTAATAGATCAACTGTATAATTTCTTCGTGTTTTTTTCTAACATTTTATTTTTGTCTGATTCTGTTATTCTAGTGGGGAGATTACCTTGGCAATGCATACACTGTATTGTAACCTTTGATGGGATATTTGTGGTTTCAAAACAAGTTCAAAGCTATTTTTTTCCTTTCAACAATAGGCATTAGTCAGCATTGATTGACTTTATGACAGTGTTCCTTGGCATTCATTTTTATTTGAGCTCAGAGGTCCAAGTAAATTGTGTTAATATTTTAGGTAGCATCTTGTGATTTGCATTGGCTGAGATCTGGAACAAGACAATTCACATCTGTGAATTTGTTTTTTCCTCTCTACACAGCACAACTTGGTGGCATCCTGACTGCCTCAGAGAAGCACCATCATCACCTTTGAGATGGAGTCTTAGAAGGCTTCTTCCAGCCAGTTGTAAGCAGGTAAGTTTGCATTAGGGCTTCTGCTGCCTTCTTTCCCTCTTCCCCAGGTTCTGAGTCTCCTACTCCTACCCTCATCTGTGAACAGAAGCTTATACTTTTAGACTTTCAAGTTTTCCTTCTCCTACAGTAGTCCTCTTTCTCTCTTGAGTTAAAAACTAGCCAATCTGCTGAACTAAGTGTTATTAGTTTGTCTACTGGTGGATGACTATACACATAGGTGCACTTCTAAGTACTATGTTTGCTTTTCCTTCGAGCCTGCTGCTATGAGATAATTTAAGCCAAGTGAGAGTCAGAAATGTAGAACTATGTCATGAGGAAGGCCAGAAGGAGAGTTGACTTGGGTAAGGAGTGATAGATATATTGTGACCTTAAAATAACAAATTTGCTTACTTTCTACCATAAAGGCAATCCTAATTCTTAGATAGTATATCTCATGTAAAAATTTCCTCAGTCTTTCCTTGTCTTTCTTGATCAGAGTCATATTTCAAACAGGATTTATTCCTTTGAGTTGAATAATAATGAAAGAACAGAAAAATCCCCAACATTTGGGAACTTTAAGAGAAAAATTATATGTTTTCTTAGAAATCTTTCAAATTATTAGAGTGTGCTTTGCTAATTTTAAATGTATATATTTAAAATTATGAATTAAACTCTAGATGATTTAAATATTTTAAAAATATTTTTGAAAGAAAAAAATTTTTTCTGCACATTGCTGTTTTGTTTTTTGTTTGCAATGACCTGTCTTGAGCAGTTTAAATCTAAAATAAGACTCCTTTGGGAGTGGTTTTTGGATTTATAATTTAGAAGAATTTTTACAGAAATGGAATTAGGATAATTGCTCTATGGCCTCTTTGGCTTAAATTAGAAGGAAATTCTATTAATTGTGTGGTATAAATTTACTCCTTTAAATAGCTTAAAGTAAATTTCAGAGTAGTAGTAGTCAAATTTCAATGTAGTCAAATTTCAATGTAGTCAAATTCTGCATGTAAATACTTGTATATATTCTATATTCCTAACTTAAGTTTCTGAAAACATTATTTATATATATAATTATATATATAGTCTGTATATATATGTAGACTGTATATTTTATATATATATATATATAATTTGTATATACATGCTTGTGTGTGTAATTCTCTGCAGCATTGTTGAATGCTTTACTAAGAACACATTAAAAAAATACATATTTTTCAATAAGAGCTATTTCATGTAGCATAAATGCACTTCATCAGCTTGGAGAACAAACAAAGGTCACAATAATTCTTTTTAAAATAAAAATTAATGTGACTGTCCTCCCACTTTACCACTCAAAGTATGTCCTCTCTCTGCCCCAGGGACAGAGAGATGTCCTCATAGAGTCTGTTCTCATAGAGCATTCCAAATCCTGAGGAGGCTCACCCATAGTTCAGCCCCAATCTGACCTCACTTTCATTGGTGTCTAAAGCCCAGGTGTGGCTCCTTGAATCTGAAGCATGCCCAGGTATAATCTTAAACCAATGCTTTGGATTGGATCACCTCCCTGTCAAGCTGGGGACTCTCTCCACATCCTCTTATACCACTCCTGAAAGCTGCAGGATTCACAGCCAAGGGAGCAGTTTCTCTGTTCCTGAGGCATCATCTAAAGTACCACATCTGGTTCCTAGGACCTTGCAGAAGGAGAACTAGAGGACTCAAACCAGTGCCACATAGTGCCACCTTTACGTCAGGTGGTTTCGTAATGTCTGCTGATGTCCCTGTCTACTTAGTGTTCACTGATAGTACCATCTTTTCTTGAGGTCAGTGTTTGCATGTGTGGAGGGGGTTGCTGAGCTAGAGAGAAGGAAGTCTTTCCTCACCATGTTATGTTCACTGTGCTCACCCTACCAACCTTCAGTTGAGTTTCTGGTACCATTACCTTTGCTGTTCTCATACCAGAAGAGTGGCATAACAAGGCTAGACACATTAAAGGAGTTTCAGAATCAAGAATAGGGCCCATGTATTACAAAAATGTGGTCTATTCAGTAGAAAAGCTATCCAGGCTTGTCAGACATGTTCATCTTTTTAAAAAAATATTTATTTTTATTGAAGTACAGTTGATTTATAATGTGTTAGTTTCAGGTATACAGCAAAGTGTGTGTGTGTGTGTGTGTGTGTGTATGTATATATATATATATATATATATATATATACTTTTTCAGATTCTTCTCCACTATAGTTATTATAAGATATTGAATATAGTTCCCTGTAATATATAGCAGGTCCTCGTTGTTTGTCTATTTTATATATAGTTGTGTGTATCTGTTATTCCCAAACTCCTAATTTATCCTTCCCCCACTTTCCCCTTTGGTACCCATAAGTTTGTTTTCTATGTCTGTGAGTCTATTTCTGTTTTGTAAATAAGTTCATTTGTATCATTTTTTTAGATATATACATTCCACATGTAAGTGATATCATATGATATTTGTCTTTCTCTGTCAGAATTACCTCATTTAGTATGATAATCTCCAGGTCCATCCATGTTGTTGCAAATGGCATTATTTCATTCCTTTTTATGGCTGAGTAATATTCCATTGTATATATATACATACATCTTCTTTATCAATTCATCTGTCAATGGACATTTAGTTGCTTTCACGTCTTGGCTATTATAAATAGTACTGCTATGAACATTGGGATGCATGTATCTTTTCGAATTGGAGTTTTCAGACGTGTTCATCTTTTTAATGATGAATTTTAACCTCTTTGGGTTAAAATATCTATATCTATCTATATAGATAGATAGATATAGATATTTATACACACACAAACACATACAAGTACAGAGAGCTGGAGGGATACTATAAAAAATGTAGGATACTCACTTGTGAGTGGGTTGTGCTGACAACCCAGTATGCGAGAGTTCATTTAAAATAAAGGTGTCCTGCAACCCATTAGAGGGAAGGATCAAATCTTGAAACAGGGACAAGTTCTTCAGGTCATCATTGTTCAGTCAGTGCTCCAGATTTTCTACATAGGAAGAACCAAAGAAAACAGTCTTACTGGAATGGAGGGAGGGGTTGGAGGAGAGATATCTTGAAGCTGCATTTACAGAGCATCCTCCTCCACCTCCTTCTTTGATTCTCTTTATTTGGAGGTGGTTTGGGAATAGATACTGAAGGATTAGATTATATGGAGGCAGAAAGACCCTGCCCCTCAAGGAACTTCTTGGTAATCCCAAACCACAATGCAATCTCTGTGCTTACCTTACACACAGAAGTTATTGTTGAATTTCTCTGCAGCTCAAAGGCTTTTTGCAATTAAGTATGAAATTTTTTTGGAGTAGAAACAAAACTAGGATGTTAGCTCCAAGAGGGCAAAAATTTTGTGTTTGTTCTTTGCTCTGTTTCGAATTCCTAGAACAGTGCATGATCCATAGTAAGAACTGAATAATAAGAACTGAATATTGGGGGGATTGGTTCAAGATGGTGGAGTAGAAGGATGTGAGCTCACTCCCTCTTGTGAGAGCACTGGAATCACAACTAACTGCTGAACAATCATTGACAGGAAGACACTGGAACTCACCAAAAAATACCCCACATTCAAAGAAAAAGGAGAAGCCACAATGAGACGGTAGGAGGGGTGCAATCACAATAAAATCAAATCCCATAACTGCTGGGTGGGTGACTCACAAACTAGAGAACACTTATACCACAGAAGTCCACCCACTGGAGTGAAGGTTCTGAACCCCACATCAGGCTTCCCAACCTGGGGGTCCAGCAATGGGAAGAGGAATTCCCAGAGAATCCGACTTTGAAGGCTAACGAGATTTGATTGCAGGACTTTGACAAGACTGGGGGAAACAGAGACTCCACTCTTGGAGAGCACACACAAAGTAGTGTGCACATCAGGACCCAAGGGAAGGAGCAATGACCCCTTAGGAGACTGAACCAGACCTAGTGTTGGAGGGTCTCCTGCAGAGGCAGGGGGTGGCTGTGAGTCACTGCGTGGACAAGGACACTGGCAGCATAAGTTCTGGGAAGCACTTATTTGTGTGCGCCTTTCTGGAGTCCACCACTGGCCCCACCAAAGGGCCTGTAGGCTCCAGTGCTAGATTGCCTCAGGCCAAACAACCAACAGGGAGGGAAATCAGCCCCACCCATCAGCAGACAAATGGATTAAAGTTTTACAGATCTCTGCCCACCAGAGCAACACCCAGTTCTACCCTCCACCAGTCCCTCCCATCAGAAAGCTTACACAAGCCTCTTAGATAGCCTCATCCACCAGAGGCCAGACAGCAGAAGCAGGAAGAACTACAGTCCTGCAGCCCATGGAACAAAAACCACATTCACAGAAAGACAGACAAGATGAAAAGGCAGACACCTATGTACCAGATGAAGGAACAAGATAAAACCCCAGAAAAACAATTAAATGAAGTGGAGTAGGCAACCTTCCAGAAAAAGAATTCAGAATAATGTTAGTGAAGATGATCCGAGACCTTGGAAAAAGAATGGAGGCAAAGATTGAGAAGATACAAAAAGGTTTAACAAAGATGTAGAAGAATTAAAGAAAAAACACCTAGAGGAATTAAAGAACAAACCAACAGAGATGAAGAATACAATAACCAAAATGAAAAATACACTAGAAGGAATCAATAGCAGAATAACTGAGGCAGAAGAATGAATAAGTGACCTGGAAGACAGAATGGTGGAATTCACTGCCGCACAACAGAATAAAGAAAAAAGAATGAAAAGAAATGAGGACTGCCTAAGAGACCTCTGGGACAACATTAAACACACCAACATGCGCATTTCAGGGATCCAAGAAGGAGAAGAGAGAGAGAAAGGACCTGAGAAAATATTTGAAGATATTATAGTTGAAAATTTTCCTAACATGGGAAAGGAAAGACCACCCAAGTGCAGGAGTCACAGAGAGTCCCAAGCAGGATAAACCCAAGGAGAAACATGCAGAGACATATAGTAATCAAACTGACAAAAATTAAAGACAAAGAAAAATTATTAAAAGCAACAAGGGAAAAATGA